AAGCCTACAAAGTTTGGGAATGTAATATCTTTCTTGGTAACTAATAAAAATCATGGAGTATTACAGAACATTTTAAAAACATTAGTATTGTATATATTTGACCTAAAATCATAGAGATATAACAATTCTTGTAATAACTCATTGGTAAAATAAGTGGAAATAAAAAATTAAATATTTTAAATAGCTGAGTATTCAATCTTTGAATGATGAAAATATGACATTATAATGTAGCTGAATCGGTATTTATAAATTTATAATTTAAAAGCATTAAAAAACCTGACAAATTCATGATCTAAGTATTGAGGTCAAAGAGTTGAAAAAGTGAAATTTTTTAAAAGAAAGGAGTAAACATGGATTAATAAAACAGAAAGCAAACATACAATAGAGAAAATAAAATGGTCAGGAGTTGTTTCTTTGAAAAGACTAATATAATTTATAAGTATATTGCAAGTCTGACTGAAAAAAATAATAAAAGGTACAACAATATCAGGAATGAAAAATTTGAAACCAATAATTTGGAAATTAAAGATAATGAGTATACTATAGTTCTATGTCCATAAGTTAAATTAATGCTGGTATAAGAAAAAAGTGCCAAATCTAAATCTAAATAATCTATGTCCATTACATACATTGAGTCTGTACAATCTCATAAAGAGAACTCTGGGTGAGATGAGACTCATGGGGTAAACAAGATGGTAGAATAGGAGGTCCCCAAATTTTGACCCTTCCAATAAACAGTAACAGCGATTCACAAACAAAAAATGCCTTTGTGGGAGCTTTGGCATCCCGGTAGGAGGCTGCGAAACCCCAGTGAAGCCCGAGACTGAGGAGAGCCACACTGAGAAGGCAGGACCACACCCTGACGGCAGATTTTCCAAACACGAGCCCAGGTACAGACTGAAGGAAGCCCCAGGTCCCTGTGGACGTAGCCTCACTTGGCCCAGGTCCTGCTACTGGTTCCACTGGCCACCACCCTTGGAGGCATCCAAATGAGAGGCCCTGGCTCCACTCCGAGTCCAAACAAGACGTTTTAGAAGATAGCAAAGGAGAATTGTTTGGGGTAGAGATTTATTAAATAGGGCTTCACTATTAAATAAAACTGATAAATGGAACTTTATTAACTCTGTAACCTTCTGATCATCAAAAGACATCATTAGAAGAGTGAATCGGTACCCTGGCTGGTGTGGCTCAGTTGGTTGGGCATCGTCCTGTGCACTGAACGGTTGTTGGTTCAATGCCCAGTCAGGGCACATGCCCAGGGTGAAGGTTTGATACCCTGTCCATGTGCATGGGAGAGACAACCGATTGATGTTTCTTTCTCACATCAATTTTTCTCTCTCCCTTCCCCTCTCTCTAAAAATTCATAAAATTACAAAAGAAGACTGAATAGATATTTCACAGTCTGGTAGGAGATACTTGGAATACATATATCTGAAGAAGAACACATTGATAATACATATATTGCACAGAAGAGAACAGCTAAATAGCCAGTAAGCATATGTAAAGATGTTCAACATTAGTCATCAAGAGAAAAACCCAAACCAAACACAAGTTAAAACCATAGTGAGATACCTCTCCGTGACACATTAGAAGGCATAAAATTAGAGTTTTTAAAAATAATGATACTAGCCCTGGCTGGTTTGGCTCAGCGGTTAGAGCGTCGGCCTGCGGTCCTGAGAGACCCGGGTTCGGTTCCCGCTAAGGGCACGTACCTCGGTTGCAGTTTGTCCCCGGCCCTGGTTGGTTGTGCGGGTGGCAGCCACTCGATGTGTCCCTTCGCGTTGATGTTTCTCTCTCTCTCTCTCTGTTCCTCTCTCTCCTTCCCACTCTACCTGAACAAAAAATGGAAAAATGTCCTCGGGTGAGGATAAAAAAAAAATAATAATAATAATGATACTAAATGTAGGCAAATATATGGAAGACCCATAATTCTTATAAAATGTTGGTAATTGTGTACAATTGGTGCAAGGCCTTTGGAAAACTTCCTGGCATGACCACTTATGCTGACCATATACATGCTATGGATCTAAGAATTCCATGCCTAGGCATACTTAACATATAAACGAGCACCAAAGAAAATGTGTAAGATTGTTTATAGCATCATTAGTAATTGTATAAGACAGAAATAACTCAATTTTCTATCAAGAGTGAAAAATCATAAATCAATGAGATACTTATGCAGTGGAACACTATGGACCCATGTAAAAAGGACAGATCACAGATAATTCTGATTGAGAGACAAGACAGAGAACAAGAATATCTAGTGTGTGATCCCGTTCATATGACAAAACCACCTTTTTTCTCTAAAGAGGCCAACTTATTTATGATGACTTTAGTTAGAATAGGCCTTTCCTTTGATGCTGGAAATAATGAGTAAAACGAGGCAGGAATGCAGCTTCTGGGACACTGAGTATGTTCTGTATCTTAACATATGTGGAGATTACAGAAGTGCATTCATTTGGCAGACATTCATGGAATGGTAGAGTTAAGAGCTGTGTACTTCACTGTGTGCTACACTTTGTTAAAAAGTGAAATACAAAAAGTGGTGTTATTGATACCAGAATGTTGAAACTCCGAGTAGGCTACCCAAACTTGTGTGTATAACAGGAGTGGTAGTGGAGGGCATGGTGAGGGGTAGTAGATGAAAAAGGACAATGACAAGACCAAGAACAATAATAAATAAGCACTAGCCACTGGCAAAACAGATGGGAGAGAAGAAGGGAGAAAATAAAAACATCTCACAATCTTTTGAAGGAGATGCTATAATTATTGTGGCTCATAAAGAAGGAAACAGCTCAGTGGGGATAAATTACTTGCCTACAATTACAGATATTGTTATAATAGAATTGGGCCTGAAATCCAGGTAAAATTCTTAACCCCATACTTTTTATAATTGTATAAACAAACAAACAAACAAACAAACAAACAAAAACTAAGAGTAAAACATTTCAGGGGGTGGGGGTAGTAAAGAGTAAAGGAAGCCAAATATATGGTGAACCAAAGATGATTCGACTCTGGGTGGTGGGTACACAATGCAACATACAGATCATGTATCATAGAAATGTACATTTGAAATCTATTTGATCCTATTAACCAATGTCAACCCAATAAATTTAATTTAAAAAATTAAAATATACATTTTATTTTTAAAAATCTTTTGAAAGGAAGATCATCTTATGCTAAAGGATAGATTTTCAAAGTTTTGTTTGCTTTGATAAAAATAATATATAATTTCACCTGCATAGATAAGCCAGCTGAGGGGGAAATGTTTTAGAGGCCCTATATTGACTAATTACTAAAAAGCATTACATATGATCTATATTGTTTCACACCGTGAGCTTTTGTCTAGAACATCACTATTCTACTTCATGGTAAAATTATGTGTCAGAATTCTCAATGTCAATGAAGCCTTTACAACTTAAATGAAAAATTTTGAATAGGCCATGTCTACCAAAGATAGTAACAGTATCGGAATACTAATTTCCTGTGTCCCCAAATTTTCCCAACCTGACCATGCACTTTTTTGGAAAATCCTTCCATTTTATTCTTAAAACAGTTTTGAACTGCTAGACTTGGAACCAAAAGACCCTTAATTATTTTATTATGGCATCTTCTAAATAAGATGTTTGCTGAAGACAGATGCATATTAGGTTATTTATCATATTTATATTTGCATATCAGATTAATCTTTTTGTTTGTTTACAGAAGGATGGACTCTGTGATCCCTGAATCAGGAAAATTGTCTCTTTATTGATTTGATATCAGGCACTGATATTTCTCACATTCATGTTTCACTTCAGGTCAGACATTTCTACTATAGCTTTGCTGACTTGTTTCCTACCTTAATTTGATGGGCGAAAGCTTTTTTTTTAAAATTTAATCCTCACCTGAGGACATTTTTGCATTTATCTTCAGATAGAGCAGGAGGGAGAGAGGGGGGAAGGAGAAAGAGAGAAACATTGACATGAGAGAGACACATCGACTGGTTGCCACCCACACAACCCCAACTGGGGCTGGGGACAAAGTGCAACCGAGGTATGTGCCCTTAGCGGAAACCGAACCCGGGACTCTCTGGTCCACAGGCCGATTCTTAAATGGCTGAGCCAAACAGGCCAGGGCTGATGGGCAAAAGCTTTTTATGTGACTCATATAAACACAAAATTTGATAAAGACAGCGAGTGAAAAAAAAAAGCTTAAAGACAGTATAGTCAACAAAGCCAATGCTTATGCAACACATGTGCTAGCGTGTGCACGTGCACACACACACACACACACACACACACACACACACACTTTGCCATTTCAAAGCAAAGATGAAGAGTAAAAATCTCTCCCAATTTTAGGCTCTCACACAGAGTCCCTGAACAAACATTTCTCCCTACCCCTCCCCAGATGACTAGAGCTTAGAAACTATTTGAATCTACACAATGCAACAGAAAAAAGATTCATGAGTGTTATCATTAGATACACTGCATTGTGTACCCCGTGGCATATTCCAAGTCTCATTTTTTCAATCTGTAGTATTTTACTTCCTAACCGCAAATCTGGGGTATCTGCTTTTCTCACAGCTAGGTTTTTCCCCTTGGGTTTCTTAACTTCACTACTATTGACATTTTTAACCAGATAATTATCTGTTGCTGGAGGCCATCTGGTATATTGCAGGATGTTGAACAGCATCCTTGGCCCTCTACCCAGTATATGTCAGTATCACCACGCCCCGCATACCCAGTTTTGCAACTTCAAATGTTTATAGACATTGTCAAATGTCCCTGGGAGGCAAAATGGTTTCCAGTTGAGAACCACTGTCCTACAGAATGACGACAAACTGCAGAAATACAGAAGAAGAAGAAAGAGGGCATTTCTGATGAGTATTTTAAGATGATTCAAGCTTTCCAGAAGGATCTTTATCTCTAGATTACTTAGGCAATTTTTATTTATAAGAGAAGTAGCAACTGCAGCCCCGTATCTAGGATTTCAGATCTGATCTGTTGCCATTGGCTTCACTCAACCTTTCTCTTCCGTTGGAGGTCGGCTCGTAATAATTGCAGTTTGTTTTGAATGTCAGTCAGAATACCGATTTTCTGCTCCAAAATGGACAATAACTGGACAATGCAAAAATGAACATCATAGCTGACCCCATCCGATGTCTCCTGCATGTTGTTCACTGGCCACGGGCTGGATTCCTTCCACGAAGTCTTGGTTTCCTCCAGGAATGGAGTGGAGAACCTGTCCATTTCTCTCGACTCTTCCTCCTTCTCTCTCTGTATACATGGCATGTCAACACATTCATCGTTCCGAAGGGACATTTCTGAATTTCTAATGTGATCTTCCAACATCCTTGGCACCTCATGTCCCATGGGATAGGGACGACGATTGTGGGGCCTGACATCTAGACTTAATTCTTTTACTCGATTTGCGTATCTTAAAGTGTTGAGGGTGTTTTCGCAGGAGGACCTCCCTGGAGAGATGGTGGCAATCATGCAAGTGGAGGAGTTCTGGCCTATGAAGGAGTCCCGGAGCACCTGGGTGAGTTTGCTGGATCGGAACGGGGTGTGGGACTTGTTCTGACCCAAAGCCCGGATGCATTCCTTGAGCGCGAGGAGACTCTTATTAATTTCTGCCCCTTCCAGCTGTCTTTTCCTGTTGGCCTTGGCGGTATCTGCCCCCCTTTCGTTCCCGGCTAAGTCTACAAGAGAAAACTTGCCATGCAGCGTCCCTCGCGACTTCAGGATGATCTGGAAGACCGCGTGGCTCCTGGAAGAGTGGGCGTTGACTGACGTCTGCCCAGAAGTCCGGCAGCTGCTCCCCAGCGCCACGAGGCTCAGCAGGTCCTCCACACTGCACGCCTCCTTCTCCTGCAGCCCGACCACCTGGACCTGCTGATGGCCATCCTCCAGGACCTGCAGCTGCTTCTTCCAGTTCAACAGATCGTAGACCTTGCCCCCATAAATCTCAAAAAATGCGCCATAGACTTTGAGATCCAGCTGCTCATAAGCTGAGGTTTTAAGCTTCCGGAAGACATCCTGTGCCACCAGGGCGTACATGCCTGTAGAACAATTCTGGGCCTTTCCTGAAAGGGCTCCGCCCATGGTGTGCGTCTTCCCGCTGCCCGTCTGCCCGTAGGCAAAGCAGGTGGCCATGCCCTTGCGGAAGATGGACTCCACCAGCGGCTGGGCGGTGAACTTGTACACCAGCTCGTTGGAGGCCGTGTCATCGAAAGCGTGGTCGAAGCAGAAGGTCTGGTTCTCCAGGTAGCGCGTGAGGTCCACCTTTTGCTTGGACTCGTGCACCATGACCACGTGGTCCGAGGGGATGGTGATGATGTCCAGGTCCTGCATGCTGGTCTCCTGCTGGTTGAGAGGCCGCTTCCTCACGCAGACGCAGATCCGACGGTCCGCCCGCAGCTCCGGGTTGGACACGGAGCCGCTGTCCAGGTGCCTGCGGTACTCCTCGATCAGGCGCACCATCTCGTAGTTGGGGTTCCCCGTGCGGACTTCCAGGGTGCGCTGGGCTCGGATCTCCAGCTGCTGCTGTCTGCGAGTCTCCCGCTGCTTCTGCAGCTTCTCAATTTCCCGGAGGCAGGGAGACTTTTTCCACTTCATCAGGCAAGGGTTGCTGGGGACTTTTACAGCCAGGCTGTCCCCTGAGGGCGTTTCGTGTTTCTGGGGGATCTTTGCAATCCACCGCGTGGCCGCCTGTTGGTCCCCGATGGCCGAAGAGGGCGCCAGAGACAAGGGGGACAACAACCTGGACGGTGCGGCGTGTTCAGCAGAGGACAGCACTGGGTTCAGCAGGAATATGCTCTCTAGGTCAATCCTCTTACCTTTTTTGACTCCCTTTTCCACCCACTCTACTGTGACCCAGGTGTTTTCTCTTTTGAACTCCGTGACCACGGCGAGGTGGATGCGCCCGTCGCTGCGCTGGATGGCCACGCAGATACCCTCTCGGACGTCTCGGAAGTGGGCCTGCAAGGGTTTCAAGGATGAGAGGTGCCGGGAGACGGGGAGGCATAACGAGCTGGCCATGGTGAATGGTGGAGGTCAGGGCTCGCTTCTGGGGGTCCTTGGAGTTGGAGCAGCAGGACCGCAGCCCAAGCCAGCCTGAAGTGCCCGCAGCACTGAGCGCGTGTGTTTGCACCTGCCTTTGTGACCCGCCAGCACTAGTACTCCGCTGGGGGGGGGGGGGGGGGGGGGGCGCTTGCGTCATAAAGAAGTGGGGAGGAGAGCCAGGGCCTCTAGGTGAAAGATGGGTGGAAAAAAATCAACATTTGGGGTGCAAGGTACTAGAGCAAAGGCAGCTGGAATAGAGAGCTTATTCCCTGCTGCTGAGTGTAGGGATCGGAGCTGGGAGTAGGGTACATGTTCCCTGGACATTTGGGCCTATGCTTTAGAAACATAATCTCCCCCGAAGTCTTCACCTGTCATCTCAAAGCTGAGTGCAATAGTTGAGAGCTGGTGAATGTTTCCTTACATTTCAACCCTCCAGCCATTGGAGGCAGCGGATGAAGGTGAGGCTGTTTGCAAATCACAGGCACCTAAGGCCGGGAGCCCAGAGAACTCCCTCACCCAGGCTGTGTTTCTCCCTCACAGCCTGCTTAGGAGTCATAACTTCAAGTTCAGTGGCCTTTCTCGGTACAAAATCAAAATGAGCTGGATGTAGAGGGTTCTTCTGGTAACTGGCTGATCTGCAGCTTCTTTGGGTCTACAGCATCCGGGCTTGCACACTGAAGACGTGTATCTCATTCCAAGCGGCTCTGGCAGTTATAAGGTGAGTTTGTTGCCCTGCAGTCACCACCATTTTTGAGACTATTTCCGTAATTACCTTTCCAAACCCACTCAGTCATCACACTTCTGGCCTTGTTATCTGCAATTTGGAAGAAAGGAGAGGCATTTGGTGGAAAGATCATCGTATAGTTTTTCCTGACCCTAAGTGTGTGTGTGTGTGTGTGTGTGTGTGTGTCCTTAGACATTGTGTGGGTGGGGTTGGGGGGATGGATCAGAGATGGGAAGGCAGCTAAGGTGATCAGAGGCAAGACCGCAAAATTTTCTATAGGATGATTTGCTTGCAAAAACAACAAAAAAAATGACAACTGCCAGACAGGCCATGAGGACTAAGGTGACACCTTAGGTTTAACTGTCCTTCCCCCACATACCACATTGTCTGTGGGGCTGTGAGTCAGTGGTAATTGCACAGACAGCTCCCAAGTAGCATGAAGTAGCGTGGAGTCCCAGCAAGCCACCCTAGGACCCAGTGATGTGACAATAAATTCTTGTCGTATACTGCCTTCTTCTTCATAGTTTCCTCTTCCGCAAATTTAGTAAAGCTTAGATTCTGAAAGATGGCGAGGGGGCTATTGGATGAGCTGGATAAGTGTTCAGGGCTCATTTCAGGAGGATGTTGAACGCCAGTGGAGGGAGGGCAGGAAGGGCTTTATCCAGCTGTCTTTTTATGATTTCTTTCCTAAATTATCAATATTTAAAATTGTGCTCTAAGTCAGGTTTTTCCCTTAGTTTCAAAAGCATTATGTAAATGTTCTTATTCCCTCTATATTTCACTACAGGTTAAATTACATTTTTTAAAAGCATTGCTGCTTTAGAGTTTTTAATACTGTTTTTCTTTTCTTTTTTACCTTTCCCTTTAAAAAAGCCAGGTTTCTCTCAAAATTATGCAAACTCTAGCTCTTTTCATATTAACTGTATTTTCACACCTAAGTCAATGATTTTTATGGATAGACAAGAGATGGTTAGGTCTATGATGGTGCTGCAAACACCAGGCTGAAGATTTTGTTCTGTCCAGCAAGTCTTTTTAGCTACTTCAGGTTTTTGTTTTTTTTCAATTCTCTTATATAATTTTTCTAGGATGTCTCATTTGTTGCCACAGTGCACATATGCGTATATATATATATTTATAATATGATGCTATTCTATAATATTAATAACATTATGACATTATTAATATAGTAACTATAATATATTAGTATATTATATAATTATAACATTAATTATAATATATTAATAGTATATTATATTAATGCTGTTTAAATATTTATGAGGGAGGGAGAGGCGCCTCTTACATATTTTTAATTGCTTTTAGTAGCTTCAGCGTCTACCCACAGACAAAAGCCAGAACAGGTCTTTGTCTTGTCCCGCTTCAGTCCATCTGAATCTGGAGTCAGGCAGCCCTTTCCCGCCTCTGGAAGTCTTCTTTCACGGGGACATCTTTTCATCTCCCAGTGACTACCTCATTTCTGTGGACAAGCTCATCCTTCCAGGGGCTCCGTCTATTTCTCACCTCGTCCTTAGAGTTAGTTGAGCAGGTGCTGTATTAATTCCCAGCTTACAGACATTTCGGGGCTCTCCATCATTCTCACTGACAGTACCAATTCCATGGGAGGGCACATGAAGCACATGGCCCTCTTTCCTGTGTTTTCGTCCTCAACCTTTACCACCATCGGTCCTTAGTCTAAAGTTGAGCCGCACTGAAGAACTTGAGGTCCTTCAAACACAGCATTTTCTTTTAAAGTACGAATTTTCTTCCCAGTGATTCAACAATATTAGGATGCATAAAATTTACCTAGAGGGCTTGTTGAAACACAGGTTGCTGGGTCCCTCCCCAGAGATTCTGATTCCACTAAGTGTGAGGTAGGGTTAGCTTGTCTAACAACTTCCCAAGTGATGCCGTTGCTGCTGGCTCTGGGACCACAGGCTGAGAACTCCTGTGTTAGCCTTCTGAGTGGAATCGCTTCTCTCCCTCCTCACTTTCTTGAACCTTCAACTCCCATCTCAAACATTACTACCTCTGAAAGGTTTCGCGGACCCTGTTGATAATGATCGGTCAAAATACCATGAAACTGAGACATATCTTCCTAAGAAATAGTTTCTATTACTGGTTGGTTTTGTTTGACAAGAGGAAACTACAAGCTTCATTCTCAGTAGTGACTATTAAAAAAGCCCATAGGTTAACCTAACAATAATCTGTTTATAGCGAGTCACTGGGGTCTCTTTAGTTTTGGGAATCTGGAACTTCATTTGCAAGCATTTCTTTTTTTATTTACTAAGACGAATTCAGAATTCAGACACCATCTACATAATTCTCGTATTTTATGGAATATAAGAAAACACCATGGATCTTTAGTAATGAAATAAATATAATATTTGTTAAAGAGTGAAGACGGCCCTGGCCAGTTTGGCTCAGCGGTTGAGCATCGGCCCGTGGACCAGAGAGTCCCAGGTTCGGTTCCTGCTAGGGGCACGTACCACCAAAAAAAAAAAAAAAAAAAAAAAAAATGTGAAGACGTAGATACAAATTATGGTATCATTCTTGGTCATGGCCTGGATGGCTGTTTGGTAAATGAGGAGTTTCTTGAGATTCGAGATGGGCGCCACCATTATTTTTTCTTCTTTTTTTTTTCAATCCTCACCCTAGGACACTTTTGCATTCATCCTCAGATAGAGCGAGAGGGAGAGAGGGAGGAAGAGAGAGAGAGAAACATCGACGTGAGAGAGACACATTGACTGGTTGCCACCCACACGACCCCAACTGGGGCAGGGACAAACTTCAACCAAGGTACATGCCCTTAGCAGGAACCGAACCTGGTCCATGGGCCAATGCTCTAACCGCTGAGCCAACCAGCCACGGCCTTCTTTTTTAATCTGAATATAACCAAGCAATAATAATATACAAAATGCTTACCCTGTATTATTTCCTATAGCAAAAGGAATTCTACCCTCAAGAGTTTACCATTTACATATTTTGTTTCTTGTACCTACCGAGAAACGTATGCCTTGACAAACTATTCATAATATGTCCTCTACATTTCAAACCCCTGTTTTCCAAAGCTGAACGAGGATCATGTGTGGCCAACAAGGAGAGGCCGTGACAGAAAGTAAGCACCAGAAATGAGCTTCATCATTTCCATGTATTGAATACAGGTGTATTTCCCCGCTGGGCCTGTCCGATTCACTTTCCAGGGCACCATGTGATTTCTCGTCTCATTTTAGAGACAAACCTCCCAGGAGAAACGCATCAGATCTGCGCCTTCCTAACACAGGCTTAACGGACACCTAGTAGCTGTTCAGTCTGTTTGATCACCCTGGGGCTCTGTGCTTTTCCAATACACGAACGCAACCTGAGATTGATTTAGCTCTTCAGAGGGGCTCAGTTGATTTTCCCAAAGCTTTTTGAAGAAATGGAATTCATCATTTCCAATTTAAAAGTTATTTTTCTAAAGAGCAGAGAGGTACCTCCCTAAGTGTATGCCTCTAGAAAACAGAGGAACATTTAACTTTTAGAATGACGGCAGTAGTTTACCCTTAGAGCTAGCGAGTCTCTGTCTTCTGACATTCCCCCCATGTACTACAACATAAGCAGGACGCACAAGCACACATTGCTCTAGCCCTCTCGCTGATTTGATCGGCACGCACTGTTTCTATGACAACAACAGTAACTCAGAGTCATCTTTCCACAGCTTATTAGATAGCATGGCTTACTTGGGGATATTTATGATTCTTGCATATCTGTTGATTGTGCAAGTCAGTCTATGAACTCAGTCAAAGGGTAAAAACTAACCATTGTTAGCATCTCACTTCAAACCCTTTTGTGTCGGTCATTTTTCCGTTTTCAATTTGATTTAGCATGCTTGAGAGGCTTGGGTTCTGCTATAGTGTACATGCACATCAGTGTTATTTGCTTGCAACTCATACTAGAATTACAGAAATCATGTTACTCGTAAACAAAATACGTGCCTCTGTAGCCAGCTCTTTAACTTGAAAGCCATGTGCTGTTTTCCTCACCCTGAGAGCCTTCGTTAGGTTATGCGATTCAGGGTATTTAAATGAATTTTCTGTGAAACAAAAATCAGCAAGGGACACAGCATGCTTGTGTGAGAAATGACTGTAGGAATATGGATGTTTTCCTAGAGACAGTTGGAGAGACAGACCCTGGAAAAAGGCTACCCCGTTGAAGAGTAACATAATTTGTGCTATTGGATTTAAGGTAAGTCAAGTGCTCAGCCATCAAGACTCAA